AGAGGAGAAAAGAGATTGGTAAAAGGCCAAAGATGACACTTGGGTTCTTGGGCTTTGATGTGAGATTGAGGGTGTGTGTGAAGGAAGGCAAAAGCTCACTGAGGAATATGGCAGAAGGAGACTGCTTACCTGGGAGTGAGAGTGCTCACTGTGAGGGGTCTGCAAATAGAAAGATTTAAAACAGGCCATGGTGGGAAGAAATGCAAAGATGGTGTGAGTCAGAGGCAGGGACAGCCAAATTCAGCACCACTTTTAAGCAGAAGAAACTCTGCTGACATCTTATAGCTTCAGGCAAGGACCAGCAAAAACATCTGGGCTGGATGTTGGGCAGTGTAAATCTGCTTGGGGGCCACTGCCTTCGGCAGTGCCACACTGATCTGTGCATATGAAAGCTTTGGGCCTCTGCTTGCCTTCCTGCCTCCAGTCCTGCCTGCTTGTTGGGTCCTGTGGAGCTCTCTGGCTGAATTTGTGGGTGTCAACGCAGGGGGTTTCCTGGTAAATGAGAAAAATGCTGTCCTTCCATCCTGCTTCATCTGCCTGGGATTTCCAACAGAAAGGCACTGACTAATTCCATCTGGCAGGCTGACCATGCTTCAAAGACTGCAAATCCCGAGACTTTTAACTTACAAACAAAACCATGCATTAAAAAAAAAAAAAAAAAAAAGACAGCTCTCCCCAGGGATAGTCTCTGCAAAATCCAAAACAAGGTCTCAGCGCCTGCCCTGGTGCTCTGGCTGACGCCAGTGTTTTTTCTGTCCCTTTTAAAACCAAGCTGGAGTGTTCCCGACTCCTCCGTTTGACACCTCCGGCTCCCTTATTCCCTTCGGTGAGTGGGGCGGGGGGGAGGAGGCTGGAAGGGAAAGGCCAGAGCAGAGGAGGAAAGAAATGCCTGGTATTGATCCACTAAGGCTGGCCAGACTGCAAGAAATTCCGGTTTGTGAAAAATGTTGTGGTTTAGAGCATTTGTTTTTGTTCCACAGTGGGATGAAACCAAGACTTTCTGGAAGGAGGGAAGAGCGGGGGGAGAAGAAAAATGACCTTTTTTTTTTTTTTTGGTGGTTGTTGTTGAGGAGGAACAGCCTCCCTGCGGTACTGATGCCCACACTGTGTGGCTGGGGAGTCCTTTCCTGACAGCCTCTCATTTTCAGCCTGTGCTCCTCTAGTAGGGTAGTAGATTGGTATCAAGGTCCTGCAGGAATGGGTAGAGACCTCCTGCCTCCAGCTAATTGCATGCTCTGGATAGAACAGAATCAAGGAGTGACCTTCAGTGACCTCCCCTGTGACAGTCATGGTGAAGCTTGCCTGCAAAACTCTGTGAGATCCCCTGCTTTGTGACAGTTCTGCCCTTGCTGAGGTTTTATCCACTCACCTGGACAAGTTTCCCAACTGGTGTAAGGAGTCAGCTGCACAATTTCTGGAGGATGAAGAGGGTCCCTGACTTCAGCCACGTGAAGTAGGGAGGCTCTGACCCAGCATTCATACAAAGGGGAGTTTGGAGTGATTACCAAGAAACCAAACACCTTAAAGATGTTGATCTTGCTTTTTAAAATGAGCGTGTTGGCTTTTCTCACAAGACCCCTTGTCTTGCATAATGACAATTCCTTTCAGGGAAGTTTAGGAGGGCATAAGAACCTGAGCAGATCTGTGAGGGGAAGGCTTAAAGATGTCAAAAAATAGGGTGTAGACACAGCATTTGGCTCTTTTGCTTCCAGACAGCTCTAAGAGCATGATGAAGGGATAGCTGGGCTTACCTTTTGATTAGCAACCAGTGCCTTTGAGCAAGGTAAGTGGTGATCTAGCCTTTTTGCATCTCTCCCAAAGCTGGGGGAAAACTGGTCAGCAGAGCTACGAAGGGGATGGACAGTGCTGCCCTGGAGGGTACCATGAAAGCTACGACCAAGAGACGCCCTCTTGATGGCCCTGTGAGGTGTTAGTCAGGTCCCAGATCCCACCATGTGTGCCTGCATGTGTCTCCCAGGCACAGCTAGTGAAAGCTTGCTCCACTGTCTGAAGAACAGCTGTGGCATTCTGGTGATTTCCACCCTATCCCCACATCCCCACGCCTTGTCACAGGTTGTTGAGAGAGGAATGGAATTTAACCTGTGCTTGCAGCTGGCAACCCTTGGGAAATTCCCTGTTTTCTGGGAGGTAAAACCCCTTTTCTGAATGTTAGTCAGCAAACTATGCAGGGGAAAAGAGAGAAGAGAAAAAGAAGTGTCTGCTGTGAGTCAGAATGGGGTTCCTCCCGAGTCTGTGGAATTACAGGGAGGGTGGGAGGAGGCTGCAAAGCCTGGCTGCTATAAGCAGACCTACGTTCCACCAAGCCACAAGCATGAGGTGTTGGAGCTCACAGGCCCAGGAGCACAGTGGGATCTTCCTTAGCTCTTTCCAAGACAGGAGGGCTTGCAATAAAACCTGAAGTGTCTGGTAATTTGATTGTCAAAGGCCACATCTTCTAAGACAAATGTTTTGGACCTGCCACAGAGTGTAGAGCCAAGGCTGCTAGGGGAAGGCTGCTAAAAGAACAGGCTTATTCCTCCAAAAGGGATTTCTTGGCAAGGGTTATATCCAAAGCTTTTTCACTAGTTGCAAGATTGTCACATTGACGGGTGTTCCCCTCTCCCTGGCATCTACTGCTTTCACCCAACACAGCTCTCTGGACTTTTACCCACACACCTTTTGTCTTGCTCAGCTATTGTGAAGCAGAAGTGTTTCAAATCTGCCATGAGCCAGCATCTAAGGATTTCCCAGGCTCTCCCCTTTTCCCTATAATATTGTTGGGTGTCCTTTCTTATAGAAGAGGCCTTCCTTCTGAAGGAGACCAATTGTGGGTCTAAGAAGAGCTAAGAAAGCTGGTAGCTGAGTCTTGGGTGCCAGAGCAGCTCATAGGCAGCTGCTGTTGAAGGTCAGGGCGGTCCTGCCTTAGTAGGGCATGTGTAGAACTATCTGCTATTGTCTGGTAACATCCAGAATGAGCATGTTGTGGACTTTCCATTTCCTACTGGTAACAAGGGATGGATACCCAGTGAAGACATGGATAGGGCTCACCACCGTGGCTGGGTGTTTTTCTGGGTTTATGCCTGGTGCCATTTCCATGCACAGAAAGGCAGCAAAGTGGGCTCTTGCTCTTTGTCTCCTATGAATTGATTCTAGGCATAGGTTTCCCATAGCTTCTCCTGGCTAGTGCTCGTGTTCCCAATGGGACAAAGTGCTGCAGAGAAAGGCCAAATATCTGGCAAAGCCATTGCCAACATAAAACCCGAGGTTAAGGCTTGAACTCCTCTCCCGGTGAAGCTGAAGGCAGGGGTGAGCCTGCAGTGTTGCATTTTTCTACTTACTGTACTGATCTAGCTCAGAAGGGAGTGAGGAATAATGATATTTCCTTGGTCCTACTATCTTTTAGTTTCATATAAGAAACAAAATTCACTCTTTCCCCTATGCTGAAATATGCAGATGGGCTGTGCACCTCTGCAGACTGTGTTGGAAGGAGTCACTGTGCTCTGTTTTAAATATTTGACAACCCCCTCATTAATTGTTGGAAAGACTGCCTGATAATTTGGTGGAGTCTGGAGCCTGCAGAATGTTACAGTGAGTGATATGTATCTGTGTATCCTATAGCCCTGGAAGGACTGTTGAATCCTCTGAAGCTCTTGGCTTTGGAAAGTCGCTTTTCAGGCACATTTTTTCCTGTAACTGAATTCCAAGTTTTTTAGCAACTGTGCCTTCCCTTTCTCTTCCCCATCCCCCTCTCAAAAGGGACATTTAAAGCAAGATACAACCATCTTCACACCACCTTCTCTCTGAAGAGAAATGGCGGTGACATTGAAGAAGAATTGCAAATCAAAGCAAGGGGGAGTTGCCCACTTGTATCCTACTTGAGGTGTAAATGGAACTTATATCTCTTGGGAAGTTGTTCAGCACTTAACATAAGAGCCTGTATTCATTTGCTCATGATTTTGCCAATTTCAAACTGTTCTCACTGTTGTTTACGGTGCCACACATGTGACTCAGGATAGATTTTTCTTGGGATGGTAATAATCTGAAATGGTTCACTCATTTCCAGGAACAAGATGAGGAGAAAATTCCATTATTTTTCCTTCTGTGTTTGAAAAAAGACAAATGCAAGATTTTTTTTTTGTTTGTTTGTTTTGGTTTTTTTTTTGTTACTTCACCGAGGCAGCTGACTTCTTTCTGAATGAGTCTGAGATGTTGTTGAGGAATCACTAGGAGGTAGAGCTCACCTCTTTTTTAGTGCTGGCTGTTTATTAGGCATTTATTCAATGTAATTTGTCGGAACTAAGATTTCTCCATCCTCTGTGGAGAAAGATGAGGGTGCTCAATCAGCCAATCTGAAAATAGGTACCTAATAGTACTGAAATGAATTGCATCCTGGGGGTTCATGACAGAGGTAGTTTAGAAAAATTGTTTAAAACAGACTCATTTTTAGACAGATGAGTTCAACCCTCTGAGGCTGAGGAAGAGCCTGCTGTTTTTCCTATGAAAAGCTGATTGTTTTCAGCTGTGTTATATGTTTTGGAGAAGAGAAAACCAAAAATATATCTCAGTCTGCTCATGGTGATGAGAGTCTGGTAAATGCTTTGATGAGTCCACTTGAACAGTGCATTGTTGTGGCACTTATCCCAAAAGCAAGAGTGTATTTCATTCCTGAACCTTCCTAATGACTCTCATGGCACCATGATTCTAGGGAGGTGGTGAAAAAGCTCTCTGTCTTTCCCGCAGCCTTGGTGGCTTCGGTTCTGGCGGTGCCCAGGAGGCAGGGAGGAGGTGTGCAATCAAACCACAAATGCAGAAGGACTGCTGGGAGCTGAATGTGGGGGAGAAGGCAGCAAAGGGAGCGGCTGGACACAACAAGTGTGGCATGGGAAGACAAAGGGGAAAGTGGGGATGAGCAGGAGGCCTGGGACTTTAAATGCTACTGGAAGTCAGAAGGGAAGAGGAGACTGATACCAGAAAAGGAACTGTACAGCTGGAAAGTGAAATGTGAGATGGGAATTGCACATGTGAGAAGGGAAGGCAACTGAGGCTGTTGATGGGGCAAGGAACTTCAGGATGGTAAGCAGAGGTTCAAAATTCAAGAAAGACCAAGTCCTAGAGGACAAGAAACTAAGTAGTGGAGGCAGCTGCACAGAATGAGGCAGAACAGAAGCTGTGGGAGACAGGCATAAAAATTTGGACTTGGATGGGCACCAGGGAAGAATGATTTGGGATGTCCTGTAGAAAAAACTGTCCGTGTCACAACCGTGTCCAGGGGAACCCGTTGCTGCTACGTGAATAACCTGGATTTTGGCACTTATGGGACTTCTAGCTCTTGGGGTATAACATTCTTTGTGCGTATAATACTCTATAGACTGAATGTATCTTTTCATCTGGGTTTTTCTCTCTGCTCTATTTCTTGTGCTAACCTTTCCGTGTTGTTTTTCTCTGCTGCTTTTTCTAGCCTTTTATGAGAAAACTTTGGGCCCAAGAAGGTTTATGTTGAACCTTCAAACACATGCTGTTCAAATGGCTTGAAATATTGAGTGAAATATGTTCATCTTTCATTAGCTGGAGAAAAGGTATGTATGAAAATGGTTTCCAGGAAAAATACCCTTGAAAGTCTCAGGAAGAGCCTGTCACCTCTTTACTAGGACACAGTCATTCCTTTCCAGCTGATCAGCCCGTGTTGGGTGTCAGCATTGTGCCTGGATCTTAATCTAAATGATTATCAAACAAATGGTTAAAACCAAGGGAGTTCTAAGAGCAGAAGACCTGCCCCTGATCATCCAGCTCAATGAGACCAAGTGCAGTCTGTTACAAAGTCTAGGGTACGGCTTGATTTTAAACATCTGCTGAAGTGCTTTGTACTTTGAGTTGCTGGGAAAAAGTTACTGGTATTCCTGGGTGGCAGTCTGTAATTCACACCCTTGCAAGGGGTCAGCAGAAATGGGCAATGTGCTTCTCCTGGCCTTGGAGCCTACAACTTGATCTTGGTGTCTGGCTGCGCGTTTCAAACCCCAGCCGATACTGCGTGTGCCTCTTGGACAATCCCGCCTTTTTACGCACTTGCTGTTCCCTGACCCGCTGGCAGAGCTGCTTGCCCCCATTACTCATCCTGACACACTTTGTAACGCGCAGAGCCAGCCTGCGGCATCCAGCCTGCAAATTTCCCTAAGGCTGCAGAAGGGGAAGAAAAAAAAAGGATAACCTGCAATAATACGGACATGCATGCAAACGCGCTTTTCATGTGTTCCTCACACATTATGTGTGCGTGCAGTAATTCACGCGGTCTCATCTGCACACACACGCGTTTTTTTGGATACTTGTATCCCACTGTATGAAAACCCGAGAGAGCAAAATGTGTCTATAAACGTAAGGGAGCTTTTTGGGGCCACTGGTTTGAAGTTGTCTTGTAACAGCTTTCCAGTGTTAGGATGGGATAGGGTGAGGTAAAAGGAAAGAGGGAAGAGAAGAAGGAAAGCAAGAGGCGAAGGTAAAGGGAATAGCGTGGAGGGAAAAGAGTGGGAGGGAGAGAAAAAAGATATGGGTGAGAAAGGAAAAGTACAGATAGCAATGCTGACTGAGTTTGTATACCTTAAAATCTGAAAGGTCCAAGAGTTCTTGACCTATATTCCCTGTTGCAGAAGTGCAGTACAATAACACACCAGGTTTGTTTAAAACATGGAAACTTGACTTCATTTTTATGTTCTGAAGAAAGGTTTCGCAATGGTGCTGAGGAGAGAAAGCAAAAAGATTTAGCTGTTCCCCTTTACAATCTCCCTCCCTCTGCCTTTTGACGTGCTTGAAATCAAACCCACTGGCTTCTGAAATACTGTAGCATTGCTGTTTTGATGGAGCTAGGCTTGAATTAAAACTTAAAAAAAATCTCCCTCAAATCCACTGGGACAGGATGCTAGTATTTATAATAAAGTGGGTTTATAGACTGAATGGTTTGACATCTCATATACAGTCTGGTGGAAGCACATGCTGTGGAGTGGCCTGCAAGGGGACAGCTATCACATGGTGTTCTGATTCATTCAGATGGATTTTGGTTTCTCTTTGCTGCTTTTTTTTTTTATTTTTTTATTTCTTTGATTTAATTTGGAAGGGACATAAGCAAGTGCTCCACTGCAGGGTCTGGTGCACTAATGGAGTAAACAGTATTGTGGACATGTCGGCAAACTCTCAATTTGACTTGGCTTTGCTGGTCTCCAAAGAGTTATATTATTTATTATTTATGAGTATGAGGGTGACCTTTAGGCAGTGGGGGAAATGTTTATGAATCTAAAAGGCTTCGCAAGCTTTAGCACAAAAGTGGTTTTTTGTCAAAAAAAAAAAGTGAACCATGACTTCATCATTCAGCCTTGCTTGTTCTCTTATATTAAAATTCTTTGGTTATCCATTTGAGCTGTAGAATCAAAACATGTAGTTCAGGTGAGCAGTCACCTAGAAAAAAGTAAAAATCCAAGTAAAAAGGCATATGAGTAGCTTCAAGAGATCAGATGGGTTTGTTCAATGGGCTGGTGAAGGCTGAATTATTCAAAGAAGTCAAAGGGAGTGAGGTGATGGTGACCCATTACGGTTGTGGACTTCCTAACCTGCAGAGATCTAGTTTTGAAATTTGTATGTTTAGTTGTGAAGAATTAGGATCTGTTCATGAAAAATTTGTAAGTGTAAGAAAAAGCCCAGCCACTGTCTGAATTTCCAATCAGTCCTGCTGATAATGAATAACTTCTGCAGTTCTGCTCTCTGAATCAAACTTTGGGTTGCCCATTTTTTTGCATGTCATGTCAGGAAATTGAAAATAGATGGGGAACCTCCACCTCATTCTCTTCCTTTTGAAAATCATCAAGGTTATTGTTTTCTATCCTTAATTTTGTCAGGGTTTTTTACTTTTCTGTTGCTAATTCCACAGCGTGATTTGAGTGCTTATTCCAGGGTCAGGATTTGCAGCTAGAAAAAGGGCTCTCAAGAAGCAATTAGTGCATCCTACTTGCAAAAAGTCTGATTTCTTTTTACATACTTTCTGAATGTCTTTGCCCATTGTATCGAAGCCCAAAGTATGCCACATTGGGGATTTGTAGTGTTTAGTGTTTTGCTTCCCCCAGTGAAAGCCAAGAAATGCTGGCTATTGAACTTCCTTGCACCTGGCTTCAGCTCTCAGAATAAATCAGAGCAGCCTAAAGCTTATTATAAATTACTCCTGGTTACTGGTGACTCCTGGAGAGTCAGTCATAGATCAAAGAGAAAAAACAGTTCAGCCACAGCTTCTCTTCTTTTCTGTGGCTGATACTAAATTTAGGTATCACAGTGACTCTATACCTTGTTGGTTTCTATTTTTCGGGAGGCTCCTCGAGCTATGGAATAAGACAGCATTATGAGTCTGCTTTGTGGTGTCTAGGCCTTGTTTACAACACTTTTTTCTGAATTTCTGAAAATGGACTGCAAAGTTCAGGCAATGCCTAATCCTGTTTAAAGCACATGGGTGTCCTCTTTGTGGCCAGGTTTAGCAATGTTATCCAGGGCACAGTGGATTTTATGCTCATTGTACCAGTGTAAGGTTGGATCATTTGTGGAGCTCTCTGGTAGGACAGTACCAGAAGTGAGAGCAGCATCTATTTTGATTTCTCCTGTTATCTGTGCTGCCATTGTGATGTTGAGAGGAAATTGGGCACACCCAAATACTAAGAGGACGTATGCAGTGTACATAATCTTATCGTGCATGATGTGCCTTGAAATAGCGGAAGGAGAGATACCCTTTGGGTGAACATGTCAACTTTGTTACTCTGATGTATGTCCATGAGTGTTCCTCTTCAAAACCTTGTCCCAAACGCCTTCCCCTCCTATGGCTGTGGCCATATGATTAGGGCAACCTGTGACCTGCTGTCAGAAAGATGCGAAAAAATTTATTGGGAAGGAAACTAGCAACAAAGGTTGTCAATTCTGGGGCAATCTTCCTGTTTTTGATGTTTTTGCTTCTCCAAAGACTAAGGTCCTGGGGTCAAAGGATTTATATGAGATCTGTACGTTTGAGTTCAGAAAAAAAGCAACCAAACCGCGCCTTTATACACGCAGAGTTTGATGGCATAAATCTTAAAACCTCAGAAAAACAGATGGCAAAGAAAGGAAGGTCTGTCTTTTGGGTTTTAAATAATAAAGGGCTTGTGATTATTTAAAGCTGCTCTCCCTGGTTCAATGTTTTGAATGTGTCTTGTGACATTTGGATGGGTGGAACTGGCAATGCTGACCAGGCACCTATAAAATACCTAGATTGCTCCCTAGAACACGCCTTGCTACAGGCAGTATAATAAAACCCAGGGTATAACCCTCACCTATGTTTCAAAGCTAGATTAAAAAACCTCTCATATATTCAGTCATGCTTTCCATGAGAATGTCTCACTGTAAAGCTATTCAAGCATTGGGATGGCTTGTTTTCCCTCTCTTTTAGTGAACTGTCCACTGACTTCAAGCTCTGAGATCCAGGACAAGGAAAATCAAACAGGGAGATGAAAGAGCAGGAAGAGCCAGTGTTTCTGCCTGCTTGCAGCAGAGGGTGGCTGGAGGTGGGAAGTGCTCTTTGCAGCGTGCTTTGGGGCTTGTGCCTTGGGGCTTCTCTCACAGGAGGAGAGCTGAGACCCAGCTTGCTGGACAGATGGCTTTGATCTGTTCCTGACCACTGAGATATACTTCTTGATGCGGAGGGGGAGAGAAGCCAGAAAGGATTAGAAGGAAAGGAAAGATGTGACGATTTCTCAGGGTGCCTTCTGCAGCTGGGCTGCCCAAACCTTCCTTCCTTAGCCTTCAGCTGGCCATGGCTGGGCTGGGCCTGCCATGGGCCTGAGGTCCGGGGCAGGAGTATAGATCAGAGCAAATTGTCTGATGATTCTTTATTTACTGCTGGTTTTGGTGTTGCCTAGCACTGCCATTATGTTGCACACAAGCCTCTGCCCCTCCTAGCCACTGTCCCCACCTCCAGGTGATGGGCAGCTACTTCTCTGCGGGTGGCCCTTGAGGGACAAGGAGCAACTGGCTGCCTTGAGTGAGAGGATGCAGGTTCTGTGAGCCTGTCCATGTGCTGTGCAGCTGGCACGTGATCCTAGAGCATCTCTTTGGCATTGCTGAAGTGGCTCTAGCCCCACTGGTGACTGGAGAGAGCAGGCTGGCAGCAGTGCTTGGGAGTGTGCACAGCTCACAGTCCTCTCCTGCCCTCTCCTTCTGCTCACCTGGGGCAGGAGCACTCATTGTCCTGACAAGTTTTCCTGCTGCTTGCACTGTCTGTGCAGGTGTTCCTTGCTGGGGAGGTATTGTGCCAATTGGTTGTCTTGTTTCATATTTGTGTCCCATATCACTACAAATAATTTAGAGGCTGCTCTCTGCCTCATTGATTTGCTGTCATGCATTACAGTGGCATTGGGTCTGGATTCAGCAGAATTCATTCCTCTTTTCTCCCTGGCAAATGCTGCTGAATAGTTTTCAAATGTTACACCCTGGGCTGTAAACTTGTAGCATGGTGGAAATGGCTGCTGTCGAGGCTTTTACTCTATCTGACTCTGTCAAAGATTTTCTGCTAGTAGTTACT